TACATGTAGTTAACACCACTGTGCATGTACACGTGTGTATAGTACATACAGTACATAAGCCGAAACTACATGTACTGATAGTGTGTTTGAGTGTGTTTGCACAAAGAAGTACATGATGTCATATTGTTTGTGTGTGCTAGTTTCATCCACCATTTTGATGGTGTTGTACTGCTAGTTGGGGGATTTCCCTTGATTTCTGTGAAAGTTTTTCATCAATTGTTCTCCCATGCTTCCAAAAGACCCAGCTTGACCCTGCTGCATGCCACTGATACATGTACATACCACAATAAATGCATAATGCCAATTTCTCTGAAATGGTATAGGCACTCTGCTGGCCCTGTTATTCCAACTCTGCTGGCCCTGTTATTCCAACTCTGCTGGCCCTGTTATTCCAACTCTGCTGGCCCTGTTACTCCAGTCAAGGTTCTTTGAAAAGAGCAACCTGACTGTGACTGCACTGGAAAAAAAAAGGGTTTTGACCTGACAGAAGGGTGCACTAAATTTACCGAGAACTTCAGCAAGAAAAAAAAAGGACAGGCGCAGGCATTCCGAGGCATATAAAGGTCAGGTGTATGTACACGTACACACGGCAGGATATTAACCTCTTCTGGGGGGTTACTGTGCAATCCTACTCACTGTATTCGCTAACTTCTCAGAAACAGGAAATACATGCAATGCTATAGTTTCAAGGCCCATTTCAGTGATATACCCAGAAATCATTTGGGGGAAACCCTGCAAATTCTGTTATATCTTTTTGGCTGTAACTCCACCGCATGTTTAGGAGGAACCTTCTTGAATTCCTCAAAGTTAACTACTTTTACAGGAAGCCACTGGCACATTTTTGCTATCACGGACATTAGGAAAAACAATAAACAATTTTGTTTCCGGTTATCCCACCTACCTAAGAAATCATGTAGTAGATTTTGATTCTAAAACAGTGTATACATGTCTTACAAAAAAACCACACTGTACTGTAGTTGGGTACATATGAGTGGAAGATATGATTTATTGGCATTTATCAACTTTAGAGAACTTTTTAAATGTTAATGTGGGGTTTTTCGGTGATTTTTTCAAGTGCGTCGGAAAACTAAGGGAAACTCAACTGAACTCTTGCCTAATTTCTTGACGCTTCTGATTTTGAATTTCAGATCAAATTTCTTGACATTGGAATCATTCACAAAGGTTCAAGAGCATGTTATTGAATAGTTAATAGTACCAATATTTGATTGAGTGGATAATTTGAAGTTTTTCTTCCAAAAGCTTTGGCAACTGCAAAGTCAAGTGAACGCCATGTTAGAGAAGTGCGCCATGTTAGAGAAGTGCGCCATGTTAGAGAACGCAACAATAGTGGGAAAACTCCTGAGGCACAACCCGGGAAAACAATGCATTACAATGATATCACATATGAAAATGTGAAAGGGAAGATTACCCAGACTCCTCTCCCCCTACCCCCAGATCTTTTAGGGTTAAAAGTTACAACTATAAGCAAAGAACTTTTCCACTGGTGAGACACAATTCAGCTAGACTGTCACTCTTCATACCTGAGGCTGTACAATGTATGTACATGAAGTGTATTTCAGCAGAATTAGTAAGGCCAAACAAAACATTTGTTGTGTTTCCTATTACAATGAAATATAAATTAGGGTGGTTGGTTGGGTAAAATATTTTTGTTTACTCTAAATTTTTAAAGCCCCCAAAAATTGGGTCAGATGATGGTCTGTATTTTCTTTGGGGGGTGGGGCGTATATTTGTAACAGACACTGAGTCAGTGTCAGATTAATACTGTACATGTGCATGTCAATATTGCACATGTACAGAATATTTGCTGTGGCAAGGCCTGAGGACACAAGGAAGGCATGAGTCTGAGACATAGTCATGCATGGACATGACGGTTAAGAAAAAAAAGTCAACCACTCATTTCAACAGTGTGTAAAAACGGGAGATAATACATAAAAGACTGCTTTAAAATGTCACACAAAAGAAATCTAAAAAAAAGTTTATCTGACAGAAATGTTTTTTATCAAATCAGGTTCTTGGTAAGAACACAGAGCTACAAACCCAGCGATATGGTAAGAACGTTTGCACGACGTCTGTACTGTAGACATGGAGTATGGAAGTCAGTGTGAGGGAAAACATACGGTTCGACAATGGGAACCAAACAGTCTTTAAGTCAGGCTTCCCAACGACCTACAACCCTTACCTTAGTTTTCTGGTATCGTTCGATGGTCTTGAGGGATGAGTCAGTGAGTTTGAGGAGTAAGGCGGTTCTATCGGGACAGGAATGGGCGCTACTGGACAAAACATATTGACCGCCCGATGCCAACCCCGCCATGTTTCATGACCGCCTGCTGATGTCTAATTCCCAACTCACTTCACATGTCTTGTCAAACGTGCTAAACAAGGGCACACAACCAGACTATACTGCTGTCACAGCTATTTTCACCAACTACTTGTTTATAATCTTATTTGTAATCAAAAGAAACAAGTAGTTGGAGGTGAGATCCGGCGTGCGTGTTGTTGAGCGTGTGACGCATATTTGGCGGGAAGGTATGACGTCATTGTGTTAAGAAAGCAACCGCAGGCCGCATCAGGATGGGAGTCCCCAAGGCCAAGAATAGGTCACATGTGTGTCATATCCCTCATTACACTGGTATCATCCATGGTGCAGGAACAAATATAGCCCTGTCATGTACAGTATATTGGTATCGAAACAAGTACATGCATAATAATACTCGCTCACTTTGTACGCAATCGACGCGGATGGCTGAAATTTTATGACGTAAAAAGCAGATTCATCAAAACAGCAACAGGCAAGTTTTAAGAGAATTGCTACAGGCCTACTCTTACAATTACATGTATGGTACATGCATATAAGGCGTTCGGCCAGGTACCGGTATACCCGCATTATCCCTTGTGTTCAGTTATCCGCAAACTGAATGCGTCAGTGTCACCAGATCTCTGATTTGGCGATCCCTAACCATTATTTTTATGACACCAAAGCAATAACCAGGAACAGAGTGGCCCACAAAAACGAAGAACCAGACATTTGACAGGGCAAGCGCAAGGAAGCAGACGACACTGTTGATGAACGCCATTCACTTCACTCAATTTGGCATGTAGCTCAACAGTGTGGGTCTCTTTTTCACGTACGTTCAAGAAGAAAGTAGGCTATCTCCTTGATTCGCTGCATGTAACAACAAATCTTGAAATGTATAGGTCCTAATTCACTTATTTAAGGGTTGATTGTTTGTTTTCCGCCATATTGAACCGGCGCCGAACTACCGGTCGAAGCAATGACGTCACAGAAGCATAAGCCGAAGTCGCGAAAACGTACACTGATTGATGGCCAGAGCGGAAACATATGTAAATGGTTTAGGTCGCCAAAACACGCCCCGGTGCTAGCACTTGTGCTTGTGACGTTTGTGCAATACAAAAATACAATTAATGTTTCATTTGCCCAAACTTGCACTACTTACTTTGAAAAGGTCCGTGATGTGAATTTTACATTGAGACATGCTTTGTACAACTTTTAAGTAAAAATCTGCAAGATTACCCAGAATCGCGTGAAATACATCAAACACACATTATCCACAAATGCACGTGATTCAAAGGGTGTCTCACATGCATACTGACGGTCAGACTGTTTTTGTCCACTTAACTTTTCCCGCATTCAACGCACAATATGGCACTATGGGCAGTCCGACACATCTGAAAACCCTATGCATAGCTGTTTTCCAATACTCAACGTTGTCTCCGTCTAAGGCTTCGTCTACGAAACCAATCCCCGATTGTGGGCCCGAAGCCCATAGTGCAACTGCCCATAGTACATTGATTGGCCTGCCTGTTGTTTCAAGGGTATATTAAGCAAAAACTGGAGTTTGTCCTGTGTGAGGACCATGGAGATCATGAGATTGTGTAGCGCCGCGTAGTGGCCCAAGATGGAGAGCTTCATCGTGAATAGGTGTAAAACCTCTGATTTCTATAATAAAATTTTATTACAGAAATCAGTGGTTGGTGCCTTTTCGGTAGGAATACGCCTGCGTAGTGCAAAGAATACAACAGGCGCAGGTGCTGCAACAGGCACGCACACCTAATATGCCTTTGCCTAGGCATTAACGTGCACACTCGATCGAATGGCACCCATGGTGATAACACCTTTTGGGCAGGGTTCTCCAAACTGACCAATCAGAGAGAAGATTAAGACTCAGTGATGTCATCCTGACTGCGAGAATAGCCAGTCAGCGTTATTTTATATTCTACAAGAACAGGGGCTAATGAAGAAACGTGCACGCAGCCCATGGAGTTGAAGTTGGTTATTAGCAATGAACATTGCCTAATAACCAACGCGCAAGCGGAGCCTTACCCCCTTAAAACACGTCTACACGCAAGCATACATCTGCCCCTGTTACAGAGCAGAGCGCCATCTATAATTTTATACCGCGCCATCGCCTAGTAGCGCCCCCTGCCTTGTCACAGTATTGACCGAAGATCGTGTAGCGCCGAAGGCGGAAAATGGATAACTCTGCCCAAAAGGTGTAATTACCATAAGCGCCATTTGAGCAAGCGATACGCCTGCGCAGTTTACGGTAATGCTTCGGCGCAGGCTCACCAGGTGCACGTGCCAGCTGCGGCGCCTGCGCCTGTGCATTAATGTGCATTCCGCTGGCGTATCGCTTGCTCAAATGGCGCTTATGCGATTACAACATTTTACGTGTATTCACGGAGAAGTTCGCCATCTATACGATCTTTGGTATTGAATGAGTTGGGAAGGCTAGTTCTTGATTCGCTTGTCGCCCAGCTCCCAAATAGGACGCTGGGAAGGGCTGATGGCTTTGCACTGTGATTGGCTACTTTGTGCTCGACCTTCGATCGCGAGGTTATCACTTCCTGTTAGCGAAGCGTTCTTTAAACCTTTTGGTTCGCCAATGCCACAGGCAAAGGCCGAGTTCGGGCGGTTTGTTCTTGACATGGGTTTCTTGTTCTCTCGCTCGAATGGCGAGAACACGACCAAGAACACTTTTCTCGGAACAGGATCACACACCGCTTCCTCGTCAGGGTTTTACAGAAACACACGGAAAAACCCGTGAGATTTTGATTTTTGAACAGCTGCAAAAAGTAGAGAGATGGCTTCCAAAGCCATAGACAATGGGAAGTTTTGCAAAATTAATATTAATTATTTTCCGTAACACAGAAATGAATGTTCCTGTTTATATAGAAAAGAATTCCGCCCACCCAAACATTAACTCTCGAATAACGTGGCCTACTTGGACGCCGCCAAGTTGCAATGCATGTTGCTTGTCACTAACTACAGCAATAACCGGTTGTTAGTTCCCAGCGTTCGAGCGGCCGACCCACGAACAACAAATCGAGCTGTTCGTGAACATACGGGAACAAGCCGCCCGAACTCGGCCAAAATGAACACTCCCCACCAACATGGCTCTTTTCAACCGATGAGGGCAGCTTCTTCTCAAGGCAGATAGGACCTTAAAAAACACGCCTAAAAGCGTAGCTTGATTTTCCATCTTTTTTGGGGGGGGGGCTGGGTATCTATAGACTTTTTGGCAAAACTACAAGACCATTCATTCTTACGAATTTTTAACTGTGTACACAATCTCCCCTTCCCGCATGTTTGTTTGTCGGCAACATAATAGCTATAAGTATATGACGTAAACAAAAAAGTGATTGACGTGATTTATTACGGGGGGGGGGGTTACTTTCGCTAGGTTTGAAACACAGTCGCTCCCTTTGTCTTTCAATTTGTCTCATTTTGTATTGATTGTGGATTTTCTTAAGGGAAGTGAAGTCCAAGAATTATATCCTCAACTGACTGATGTGCATGCATACCATCTTGTTGCAAGCCGCTAAATGATCGCAATATTGACTCCGTGAACCAAAACACGATTTGCAAGTTGTCAAATTTTCTGCCATAAGAGCATTTTAATGGCCATGGACCGGGGGTTTGTAAAAAAGAAGCCCGGAAGCCATCAGCCTGTACTTCTGAGATATCGGGCAACCTGCAACACGAGATCTGCCAGACTGCTCTCTTTCGCAGTGGATGGTCATCAATGGCGATGGGCTTCGCTGCTTTTTAGGGTGTGATCATCTTTGAAAGGAAATTTCTCCAAAATTTCATCGGCTATAACTGTCTAAAATAAAAAAAAAATTAAGAGATGATTCATGGAAATAAGCTTTATTTTTAAGTGTGTCTTCAACAGCTGATTCTTTTGAAGTGAGATGTTTTTCTTGGTTTTCCTATGGTGGCTTACTTTAATTACATTCAACCTGCAGAAAACTTGGGACCACTACAAGGGAAGCAGAGCTGTTTATGGAGAGAGTTGAGACATGAGCGTCTCTACCGTTGGAACCAAAATGGTGGATTGTGCATCAGTGCATATGGACATTTAGCACACAATAGCAGCATGCTGTGCTGCACACGTAATGATCAGTCTTTTGGTTGTGAGGGCTGAAGTTGCCACTACCCTCGCTCCCTGCAGCAGCTCTGCAAGGGAAGCTTAATACAGCGCCCTCTGGCGCCTTGTAATAGGACAGTGAGCAGAAATCATTAACAGTTTGGGAGAGTTGTACATCAAATATCATTGTATAGCTGAATTTTAGACAGCCTAATAAATAATTAAACCTGCAGTCTTCAATTCACATTGTTATAGGAATGTGAAATACAAAACTGTTGAAACTGCCTGCTGAATATACAGGGACCTAAAATAAAAATCGAATATAATTAAAGGTCTGTCGTTTCGAATTTTAGCAAAGTCTTTCTGCAAACGCAAAGGTCACAGAAATCGTTTTTTTACCGTCAAGAAACGTTCCCCTAGGATCAAAACGGTAAGACCCCGGTGATCAGTTGTTCTTATCATGCATAAAGCATTAGGAATCCCCCGTATAGGCCACCTCAGGCAGGGGATCCAGGGAGGAAGTTCTAAGGGTCCCCCTCCGCCTGCTTCTTACTATAGACGAGGGATAACCTACGTCTCAAGGTTGAAAGACCCCCTAAAAAGCATAAACCATGTGGGGGTCTTATTTTGTCCAAGCAGTTAAGGAAAAATCAAACAGTTAATGGCTTCATCAATGGCGAAATCAAAATGTATTAGTTCCCCCTTGTTTGCGAACAAAAATCTACCAGCAAAGAATCTTGTATTTGCCTTTGGTTACTTATAAAGGGCGTTAGCGATAGCAAAGTCTTCATGAAAGGGGGGTGGTGTATAATTACGTGAAAAGGGACATTTAGCATCCGTGTTCAAAGAGTAGACAGGGATTTTCCATCGGTAATGTGACCCTTATAAAATTTAAAAAACTGGAGGGGAGGGGTTGGATAACCTGCATCTTTTATTTTTTGGCGGCGCTGTTCAAAACGAGAAGTATTTGAATGTAGGTGGCGCTCTCGATGGCGGCAAAATTTCCCGAAGCTTACACGACATTAACATGCGTCCGTGGCATAAAATGCCTAAACAAGGGAATTTGTGAAAAAGTGGGCACTTTTTGTAAAATATTGGTGGGAGGTCGGAAACCCCTTCCTTGCTGATGCTACGTAAATGAATTGGAAAAGATTAAGAAGATAAAAAAGCATAAAAGAAAGTAGAACTAGCCTATATTATTTCGAAGTGTTGAGCATGGATGGCGAAAGTGGGCGTTTGAAGGTGGGCCAGTGGGCATGTGCATCGTCCATCCTCCGACAACTGACAGCGGACTGTTGAATGGAAGTTGATTCACGTGGTATTTTACTCGTTTGCTTGAAGACAGGACGTCTCCCCCCGGATTTATTCGATCACGTGCATTCACAAAATGCGCATGTGACTGATTACGTGGTAAATTACTCGGCCTATATAGGCCATAATGAAAACATGCCCGCTACTGTGTGTAATGCACATAAAATAGCCGTCAGTCGTACGGCTCACAGTGAGTTAATTGGAAGCGCTCAAAGCACTTGGTATTTGATATTTCCAGTGAAAAAAAAACGACGCTAAAGCAGCTAAAATGGAAAACGGTAGGTTCACAAGGACTACGTCAATACCGTATAAATATTAACTAGTTGCGAGTTTCGCTTAAGCCTATAGGAAAAAACATGAGCTAAGGCATTACAGGTTGAGCTCCGATATATCGGTCAAAGGCAACTTTGTAATGATGAATGTTCCTGTTGCTGGCGTTAGCAAAGGTGATTTATGTCCCGTAGTTCTGGTTAATGGTTACCCTGTTTCACTTATCGTACGTTTCTGATTAATGTCTCCATTTCATTGCTCGCATGAACCCACCAGGGTTGTATGGTTTATTTCGTGTGTACCGGCAGACATGGGAACTGGGAATAACAAGGTTTGGTATAATTCACTGATTGATTCTTAGATCTCGGTTATTTGACAAACATGTCTGGATCTTGCAATGCGGCGATTGTGCCTGCTACAGCCATTGTGCCTAACACGGGAACTCCCAGCGTCGATTTACCGGACTATCTCCGGAATCATACGCCTGTGTATCTGCCTTCCATTTCTCTCAACACTAGATGGGATGATGCGACCTGGATTCTTACCAGCGCCTTCATCATCTTCACCATGCAGTCTGGATTTGGTCTGCTCGAGTCCGGAAGTGTCTCCCAAAAGAACGAGGTTAACATCATGGTAAAAAACGCCGTGGACGTCCTCTTTGGGGGCATATCTTACTGGATGTTTGGTTACGGTCTCAGCTTTGATAAGATCGGCAGCGACTTCAAGTCGAACCACCCTTTTGTTGCAGTCGGGGAGTTCTTCGTCGATGAGACAAATCCAGATAGAGTTGGTAGTGTCTTCTCGCATTTTTTCTTTCATGCTTCCTTCGCTACGACAGCCACCACCATCGTCAGTGGGGCTATGGCCGAGCGCACCAAGCTGGAAGCTTACATCCTCTTTTCCTTCTTGAATACGCTCGTTTACTGTTTCCCTGCCCACTGGGTGTGGGACTGCTCTGGTTGGCTGAAGACAATGGGCGTGGTTGACATCGCGGGAGCGGGGGCCGTCCATCTGGTGGGTGGAGTCACAGGATTGGTAGCCACACTAATGTTAAAACCGCGCACAGGGCGTTTCCGGAGCGGAGCTGATTTGCCAGCTATGGGCTCGCCGACAAACACGATCTTTGGAATGTTCATGCTATGGTAAGTTTTGGGCATTCCAACTACAAGTTCCACAAGTCTGAGCAAAGTCAGTAATTTGAAACTAAATTCATTGATTGTTCCTGCTCTTAACAGACACATTCCGAGATGCGTGTGCCATGCCGTGATCAATAATTTGACCTTTGACATTGTTATACGTAAGCCCTAATTAACTTGTGCTAACTACAATTTAGGCTGTGCCCGAATTGCTTGGTTACGGCTTGACATTGCACGCTACTCCATGGGAAGTGGCTTTGGTCCTTATTGTCTCTTGCGTAAGTTCAAGCCTCAACCAAGTAATTACAACGCAGCCCAGTTGTAGTCATTTAAATAATTATGTAATGAATACCATTGTTGTTGAGTGATTATGGCTTTAGGCCATTCAATTAATCAGTATGGTACTAACCAAGGAGGTTATCTAAGAGTACGTCAAGGATACAAACATGCGTTCCCCAAAGGATCAAAGGCCTGTGTCCTTCAGCAATGCAATTCGCTTGATAATTAATTACTTTTGTAACAAATCACTTCCCTATATTATAGGGTCTATCCGTAAAGGTACTGTACGTAATTTAAGTTGCTTGACTAGATACACAGCTACAGCTGCAACACTTGATTCGCCTCGAACGAAAATTCCGAACTTTATTACCAGGAGTAAACGTTCTGCAATTATCTGGAATTTTATTCAGGTGGGGTTGGTTGGGGTTCAACTGTGGCAGTACATATGGAATATCACAGAACAAGTGGAAATTAGCCGCAAGGTAAGTTCCTTTTAAGTTTAATGAGTGTATTAATTTGTTCGTTCATCGAATACATTCCACAACCTTGATTCTGATTGAGTTTAACGAACTGTATTTGTTCATTCGTGGACTATAGTCCACAACCTTGGCTCTGGCCCCGTGCGACTGGCGCTGAATTTTCCGAGTTCGTAATCAGCATGCGTGAACTTGGCGTTGTGTGTTTATATTCACTGCAAGCCACTCGAGGAAACGCCGTGCGTGCTCACTATGGCAGCAAACATATTTTGCCAGCATGCACGTGAGAAGTGCACTGCTATAGACTGAATTGTTTTAGGATTCCCTTCAAATACACCCGTGGTTATTGATTCGTGAGTTTAAAACAAAACGCTATAAATGTTAGCCATGACATTGCTTGATTATACTTTGGCTTGGGGCCCGTGAATCACAACGGGTTTCCTTGTTCAGTTATGGAATTTCTGTTTAAACGTATGGTGCATTTTTAAATTTGACAGAAAAAACATTCGCAGCTTATTCTATTTGTTGCTTTTCCACCATTTTGTTGTTTGACAGTTGGAAGATATATTTTGCGAGAGACAAAAATGAAATTATATGTACCATATGAATGGTTTGACCTTGTGAAAGTGGACAGGAACTGCAAAGTCAAAAAATAAACCTATTTACATTATACATTTCTCAGGCAATGACATGACATTTAGAAGGTATACGTCATCAATGACATGGGCGGACTAGGCCTACGCACTGATGACGTTACAACTTGTTTACAGGAGTGCTTTCTAACAGACGAACCAGGTGACCATGGTTACGCTATAATTATGTTAACTGGCTCTTTGCAGGAGCCAGTGACGGTATTCATTTTTACGTGAAAAGCCACTTTTTAGAAAATTGTTCTGAAGAATACCGGTACCCAACAAAACTTTCCGCCATTACGCATAGGCCATGACGTCATTGTGAGTACATTTAGGCATATCGCAGCCTTGGTAACCATCTTAGCCGTGTGGTGGAGGAAAGTAACTTGTCCACGGAGAATGTCTTGTCATCTTTATAAGCATTATATGCTGAATTAATAATTCTGCTTCATTTCAAAACCACTTTGCTCCTTTTCGGCGTTTATGTGGTATGCACTGTCATGTATGTCGAACACTTGTCCTTTGTGTTGTGTTCCATGTCAAGCTCGAAGTCATTTTGAGCTACTTTGTAATTTGTACCAGTTCATCAATCCAACCCAAACGTTTAAAATTCCACTTCAAATTTAAAATTCCACTTCATCCTCATGCTGAGCGGAGTGATAAGGAATACATTGTGCTATAAAAGATAATGTGGAATTATGTAGGACCAGATTTTCTCCACTCCCATATGAGTGACTCTTAAGTGATTTCAGCCTAAAACAAAGCCCAGTTTTGAACTGTCTTTTTTGACGGGCCGTGGTCTTTCATCTCTGAAAATCCGAGCAGTAAATCTATTAAGCATTAAAACGATCGCACCAACTCAACACTCCCGAAAACTGCTGGATGGTGTCTTTCAAACATGTATCCATAGCAGCCGATTCCCGCGTTAAGGGACTGATACACCGAGGGCCTGGAAGTGATAAATTTAAATTTTATCCACAGCTGGTATTTTAATACCATACGGTGTAGTAGAACGGCTCGTGAAATTGGCGGCTAACTAGGACAGACAAGAGAATCGTGACCAGAGTCACGCGCGCTCACTTCACGAGCCTCGGCACACGGAGTGCGAGGAATGCCTGTATTGCTGTGGATTATTTATGCGGTTCATAGCTACCAAGATACCACATAAACTGGCTATTGATACAGTGAATATCAGATGATGACCTGACTTTTATTACGCATCTCTTTCGCAGTGAAATGTCTAATCAAGCTCTGTTGTGTGCCAGGAGAAATGGACAGTTGTTTTGTGATGTGTACTAGTAAAACATTATTATGTGCTAGTGTTTCGTGTTGAATTTGAATAAATTGTCTAACAAGAGTGTCGATAGTTTAAAAAAAATAGAGATAGAAAAAGAAGAAGAGGAAGAAGAAATATATCGCATTTGAACTAATCTTTATTTCCTGCACATACATGGGAAGTGCAGGTGGCCTTTTCAAATTATCCTGGAACTTGGGAATTATTGAAATGCACAGTGGCCACTTTGGTTGGTCCTCTCGCGAGAGAAAAATATCTGCATAAAACCATGGGCGTCGCGCAAGGGGGTGGGTAAGGGGGTACTTGCCACCCTTCCCTAAAATTTAAGTAGGGAAAAAAAGGAAAGGGGAAAGAAATTTTTCCAGAGTTTCCTGAAAAAACCTAGAATCTGACGATGTATCTGGTAATGTTAGGTTGTTGGTAATATTAATTCATAGCTGATGAGTGCTTTGCCCGCTCCACGAAATCCCTCTTCCAAGGAAAAAGGGATTTGCCCCTCCCCCTTTGGAAAAAAATTCAGGCGACACTAATAATGCATGTGCATGCTTTGTCAACATGGCGGTAATGACGTCACATGTAATCTCCCCATCATAAAGACAGTATAAATAATTTGGTTTCTAACAAGTTGCTTCAAGCATTCAAGTGTGACATGATTAGTGCAATTGGCCTATATCCTACAAGGATATCAAGTTTCCAAATCGTGCACTGACAACACTACAAACCTTTTTCTGAGCAGCCAATCAGCCGACAGAATATTCTGTTGAAATCCCGATTTTCTTTCACATAAACACCTACAGTGGTAGAGTGTCATTATGGCATTTTACGGGACATTCTGAGTTGATGTATAAAAGCTTTTACGGGTATGACCGACTTTTTGACCAATTTCCTCGAATTTGTAACGATGGTCAGTTTAACGACAAACATGAACACCGAGTTACAGAATCTTTGGATGAAATAGTGATATTCCTAATGCGTTCAATTAACAAAAAATACTACAGTAAAGTGTCCCTTTTTGCTACTGTTTAATTATGACAGTAAAACAGGAGCTGAGGCTGTTAATGAAAACATGAGTACCATCTGATTTTTTCATTACTTTGCAGATCTGCGGCCTGCACCATTACAGCATCTATCGGGGGCGGCATGACGGCAATTGTGCTCAGGTAAATATTTCCACGTAGAATTCTAGTCATGCACGATCGGTTCCACTAACCGGCATCTTTCCGAAAATGGAAATTGCTTGCTGGATAACGGGGACCTTAGTATATATATCGGTCGGCAGCCGTTTATGTGCTTGTTTTCCAGGACATGTTGACATTTTTATCTTCTCAAATGATGTTTTTCAGTCGAGAAATTGGAGAGGCACTGTGACTTGGACACGGTTTCGAGGTGGCACGCTTTATAATTCAGATTTCAGGATTTGTTTTTGGCGTGGTATTTTTATGAATCAACAAAAGTCAGCAATAGCAATCCTAACATTAATTAAACAGAACAAAAAAGCAGGGGATTCTTTTACTGCGTTGTGTACAGGGGCAGGTCCAAGGGTGCGACACGGGAACTTATGAAGCTACTTGTGACAAGAGGAGACAAAAGTATTAAACTCGTGACAAAAGGAGACAAACCCCAGGGAAAGGGGATAAACCCATCCTCTTTGTGACACCCCTCGAATTTAAATTGATCAACCCAGAGTTGTGAATACTTTCCACGGATTTAGAAAAGTGAGCACATGCCATTTACGGTATTTACATACAAAGAGCTCGTAGGGACTTTAGGCAGATCAGGAAGTATTTTATCTTAATGGCACCCGGATGATCTTACCAGTAAATTTTTCAAAAACATAACGCTGACGCCAGAGTGCTCCGTAATGATACTAATTTCGGTCCTTGATGCGAAAATGCATGATTAGAGAAAGGCATACTTGAATGACAAAACAATATCTCCAACATCAGGCTGTTACTGGAGATAACAAACAGTACACAAAAGCGGTTTCATATTACCAAGGGCTACCGGAAACATGCCAAGGACATAACTACATCATCATTCAGGTTTATGCGTTTCAATCTAATTGCACTCTAATTTCCGTCAATTGATTATTTTTTTGGTGCACTTTTGAGTGGTGAACACACACAAGCTTCTTAATGGGAACACGCAATTGAAGGCAGTGTTTTTTCGAATACATATTGTGTGATTAGCCGTGGAGCATTGTCCTTTGGTAGGTAACCATGGAAGCTCATTTACGCAAGGGTCTGATTAAGATAACTACGATGGTTCTTATACTCTCTCTGTAAGCCTTTATTTTGCAGGAGGGCACTGACACTAAGAGTGAAAACATGGGCGATGTATCAAACTTTAAGCCACGCCTTACTATTTTCCAAATCACTGCTCATAAATGATTTATGGTGTGTTCAACTGTAAAGGTACACTCCACCGGTAAAAATAATGACTTGTTATGTTTCCACGAGACATTGACAGATGTGTTTTGGTCACAAACCACGAATTTTATGCCTGGCTTTCGTTTCCATTTCGCCATCAGTTACCTTGCTAAGCGGCGCAAGTTTGATGTCACGTTTCTCATTAATGGTGTTCTCGGATCTCTGGTGTCCATTACAGGTAAACATGGGTCAGTAACACTGAAATGCTAAACAGATCGCCCGAATTAGTTTTCACGGAAACATCTTTGGGGTCTGGTAACACAGGCAATTTTGAAAATGAGAGCTTTAGTCGAAAACAATGTAGGCACTTTGGCATGATCATGATAATATACCCACTGCTGTGATGTAACAGATTTCGTCATCGACCAAAGTAAATTAGGCTTAATGGATACATGATTACGTGAATCCAGGGCACATGAGGTTGCCAAATTTGTCGAGTTTAGACATAAAAGGTGTGCTACAAGTACACCCACACTATTGCAGCGTCATTCCAGGAATATCGTTAAGTTGAGGGTAGAGTGGGATGATTTTAAAGACTCAGCCGAAATATTTCTCTATGAATGCCGTGATCAAATTAAACTATTGGGTTTAAGATTTCTGATTAAAGGAATGGCGTTTCGAATACTCTAAGAACACTTTTTACAGTTCTCTTGAAAAGTGTTCACAAGAGTCCCAAACCAGTCCATGTCATGTTGACTCTTGTTGCTTGTACCTCTTTCGGCTTCTCATCATCACATTTTCGTTTCTTTATGGCGACAGCAATCAGGACGGTATGCATCCATTTATTTGCATCTTAATGAAAATCGAGGCGGTCATTACCGCTGAAATGGGTCATTATATCGCAGTACTCACTTCTTTCAAATAATGGCACTACCTAAACAGAAGTTGCGCAATTTCTTTAAATGAAACACATTTCAGTTATTAACGAGTGTGGTTAAGGCAAGGGTGCACATGGAGAATCACGCTCGCAAATTATTAAGAAATTTTTCTAAAGAGCAAAACCTTTGGTAACTCGAGTTCTTAGTGTGTTGCGCTGTGTTCATGTTGATTCCTCGGCGCCTTTGTTTCGCAATTTATCGACCTTACGCCGTGCGAGAAATGTAGGCCTAAGGTGTACATTCAAGCGTCGAACATTATCTTCCGCATTGTTGCCTACCCAGAAATACCTTATTTATCTATTGGAGAGGCCTTTAAGCAAGCTCTGTTTGTCTTTTTCTTGATTCCTAACATTTGGCTTGTTGACGGTTCCTATTTGTCACAGCTATGTGTGCCTTAGCCCACCCCTGGGAGGGCTATGTTATAGGTGTCGTGGGCGCCCTCATTGCCTGCTCAGGATGTTTTCTGACCGAGCGTCTTAAGATCGACGACCCTGTCAGTGTGGTGCCGGTGCACGCTTTGGGGGCCATCTGGTCGCTCCTTTCTGTTGGGATCTTCGGACGGCAGGACAAACTAGCACCTCAGTTGATCCGTAACAGCGGTGAGAAATGCTCTGCAATGGTTTGATAGAGAAAGGGTTTGCCTGACGACAGCGATGGAAGCAATAACACGAAAGAGGATTTATAGTAAAGACTGTAAAACAACATTTGAAAACACTGTTCAGTTTAGAAGTTATTTCGAGTGATAGCCTTGTTTTCTGTACTTGCTACCAGCAACGCACTCACAAGCTTTGTTCTTCTTTCCCTCTTTTTAGACCAAGAAAACTCAAAATAAGTCTGAAAGTTCCCATCACATTTTTGTCAAGATTGTAGGCCTATCTAAAACGCTGTTACCGTTGTTGTTTTACTCTGCACGTGTATTTCTTTCGTTTCAAGGTTTGCTTGCCGGTGGGGGATTCCATCTTCTAGGCATCCAAGCCTTAGCAATCGTTTCCATCGGCAGCTGGACAGCAGTCACTTCCTTCGTCCTGCTCAAGCTCATTGACGTCACTCTAGGGCTTCGAGTTCCTCTGCACGAGGAGATCCTCGGAGCTGACCTTGTGGAACACTCCATCAACGGTACGTATGACAAAAACAGCCGCGAATGGCGGGACCGGGACGGTCGGCTCATCATGGTGGTCGAGCGGTTCAAGAAAGGCGAGTCTGCGGACGAGCTGAATCCCCAGGATATTCGCAGACTGAGACGTATGTCCAAACAGAGGGCTTCCAGTGAGGAGACCATGAAGTCGGCCTTCGGATTCGTTCGGACCGAGGACTCTTCCAGCTTTGACCAGAAATCTGACGCCGAGTTGGCGGATGACGCTCGGTCGATCGATGAAAGTCAAGCCGCGGTTACGCATCGAAGGAGGGGAATGGACAGACTTCGTAGATTTAAAATGAGTAATATCCTTGGAAAACGATCAAGCAACTGGACACCAAAACATTCGGCCAACTATTAATTTCATGTCCATAACCTATTGTTTGTCAACATTGTGTATCTGAAACTGCGCATGCGCGTTTTGTTACAATTTTGAAAATAAAAAAGAACATTATTTCATTACATTGTGATTACATTTGGCAGAATTTTCAGTTTCACTTGATTTTTTTTCACCTAAGAATCATAACTAAAACCACAATTTCTATTTTTAAACTTTATGATGATTTAATCTTGAAAAGGATTAATATGATGATGAACGAATCCTCCATTACATAATAATTCTTGGAACTCTGTCTAAAGGTGTAACATATTTCATTTCCAGTTTAAAACGTTTTAAAGGCACATGACCTTTATAATTATGTACGTTTTGATTAAGTGTTGAAAATGAAGCAATTTGTGTATTTTTTCATTAAGACATAACATGCACTTTAAGACGCACTTTCACGACACAGTTACAGACTGTCGTTGCGTCTGAATAGATGAGGTTTCTGGAATGTTTCCCGTATTGCCATGTCTTGTGAAAAAACACACGAGGCAGAGGCAGAAAGATGGAGAGGCTTCGGCCATTATACTGGGGACTGTATGAACTAATGAACAGGTGTGAAGCAAAGTGTTGCCATGCCGGAGTCCTCAGACATTGAGCTATGAGTGTTATAGTTTGTCTGACATGAAGATGGTTTCCATTAAAGTCAGCGTCTGTCTGTGTCGCCCATGGCCTTCAATGAGGCTAGTATTGGCATGGACAACGTGAAGACAACACTGCAATCATTTTGTGAATTGGTTGATAAGTTACTTTCGGTGTAGATATGATTTCTTGCATAATGGTAGTCAAACCGACCGGGTTAGGCCTACACATCTACCTTTGGTGGTCAGGTTGGCGTAGTGGTTCTTTCCTCGCCTTCCACCTCTGTGGTCCTGGGTTCGATTCCCGGCCCAGTCCACATCTTGTATTGGGTTTCCAGTCCCTACCTGATTCTGTGGGTTTTACCCAGAATATTCTTCCGGGGTTTTCCTCCCACGACGAAAACTGTAACTTCTTCTCATTGTCTCCTCTCTCCAGGTTTCTTCAGACTTTCGAGATGCAGTGCCTATAGGGCACTTTCGAGGGATCCTTCTGTCATTACCGAAAAGATCTAAATAAATGAAGATTACCTTATGCTGCGATTTGGAAAAGGAGGAAGAGTGGTTGTGATTATATTTTACTGTGGAGGAAGGACACAGAAGGAGTTACAACTTTGGCACAACAAAGTGCTCCATGATCATCGCTGCCTGGTCAGATGAACGATTGTAAACATTCTCAAAATGTCTGAGAACTGCCTGCAGCTTAGCCGCATAAGTGGGGCCAGTAATATCATAACAATATTTGTGGTGTTTTCTTTGCAATTAAATACCGGTACAACTATATCACAGTGACCAGGAAATGGAAAGAAAACACATTTAACATTACTTTTGCCGTCGTGAATAAATTTGTAAAAAGATTTTGATGCACTTTTCCATTATCCATGCAATGTTTGTAATTTTATTTTGTCACTCCAAAACATCAGTTTTCAAAGTCTTTGTGCGAATTTGGCTAAGACTGGCCAACAACATGTTGACCACCACTGGACAGTTAAGTTCACGAAAAACAAAATGCGCTGTTTCACCACAAGGAGTGATCGTGAGATCTCATAAAATATCTTTTTTTTTGTAAATTCCGTAATAAAAATCATTCCAATAAAACACAGTATCTTATAAACAACTTGGCTATTAAGTCTAGAAGAAAGCGTTCGATATAAGGGCAATAACTGCACATGAACACTTCGGGAAGACAGCCTAATAAAAAAAATGCGCAAGCATTAAATTTTATGTTGTTGTCAAATCATACCAAGCACCAACGATGGTATGAATATTCAACTTCGTATACTGCCGTACACAACGTTTTAAGGATGCAGATTACCGGCGAAAAATTGCGGCGATGATCATAGGGTACAAATGGGGCTTACGGTTGTGAAACAGGTGGTGCGTAGCATGCCTTCGGCTGCGCTCTGGCTATGGACGTACCAGTCATGCCAGAAAGCGGTAATTGGTCAGATGTTAAGGCAGTTCAACTCTTTCTGTGTCCTTCCCCATGATTTTACCCACGTGTACATTTCTCCGAACTATGTATGCATAAAGCAAGGGCTATTTTCGAAGATTCCGTAATGGGGTTTCAAGGTTTTATTTACAGCGTATTACACGTAGTGAAAGGGTTTAATGTGATTTCGCTTCCAAGGCGACTATATATGTACATGCCAATCCTGACAAATTGACAATTTCTTAAATTCGGCACCCTCTTCCGAGTTGTGCTAGCAAAATCGAACATCAGAGGATGTGATTTGTTTCACAGAATGTCTGTCCTTTAACAGACTTGTATGGGGAAGATGTGAACTTGGAGGTATTTTGACTCCATGTAGGAACCAATGATTGACAGTGACAGATCTTTCATACTAAAGAAAGATATATTCATATTAAAGAAGAAGACGGTGACAGATTCAAATTCACAGTCTCCTAACAGCATCAATTTTTCTCTGTCTTCAAAACTGGAGAGCAGAGAAGCTTCAGTATAAAGCAGAATTGGCTTTTTTCAGAGGAAATCGAGTATTTGCTAAAAATGTTTAGGCCATCGAGACAGGTGATGAAATTTGAAGTGAATGTTTCAGAGGCTTTTAATTCGAAATCAAGTATAAATTCCCACTGTCTACTTTTTAAGAGAGAATACAGTTCTCCTGCTAAAAAAATTGCATATTTAAAAGACCTTTTGGGGTCTGGAATGTATTGTTCTTTGAAATCATTTTGTCCATTGAGTTTAGCATCAATTATCATTCCATATTTACTCTTAATAGGAATCTGTTTATTTGTATATTGCTTTCTTGTGTGTACGTCCTATGTCTTTATTAGTCATTGTAAATTTCGATTCAATTTAATGCTAACCTGCATTAGTTGTATAATTTATTTCCATGTTTTCCAGAGTTATTTATGTGTCTCACTTATTTTTGAATGAATCCATACTTGTCATTCACATTGATTCTCCATTTGTTTTTGTGGACGATAGATCAAAGGTTACCGACCAATTTTTAAAGAAGGCAAGTTCAATACTAATCCATCAGCGGGGGGGGACTTCGGTCATTCTTAGGTATTCACCGGCTTCATGCACGCCCTACTTCTCTTAAGGTGTTGCCATGACAGTGTGATGCCTTAAGTGCGCGTTATGCCGCTCGCATGGCAGAGCTTAAGAAACGCTCTTCAGAAACTTATTGTCCTTGTTGGGCGGATGTAATTGAGCTTAGGTGGCATGGGACTTGGGTTAAAAACCAAAACACATTGCGGTATTTTTCCTCTCTAGCTCTCAACTAATCAAGAATTCTAGGCAGGTTGGAAATTGTTTGTTGGGCCGCGTCCGATCCTGCGATTCAATTAAGGAAATGGGCGAAGTGGAAAAAGCACTTAAGCATGGACGGGACTTTTTCACACTTGATTGCGCGGATAAATGCTTTTCAACTTCGCTCCAGGCTAAATAAAACAAGTTGAAAATTTACGGTGACACTTCAAACTTTATTCGCATGTTAGGATGAGTGTGTATTTAAGAGAACGAGTCAGTACCTGACAAATTTTGCCATGTGTACGTTAGACAAACATGATTTACGTGCAAACGGCCGTTCACAGCGCGAGACTCGTGCAATTTAAGTATTTCTTTAAAATTGACAAATGGCGAAATCCATTAATGCTTATGACGTCAATCAGACACAAGGATGTTATCTCTATGTTGTTTTAGCTCATCATAATCCTACCTTGCGCCAGAGTTGTCATTCTCAAACTTGATTTGAAAAGGTCTTGACGTCTTCACGGATGAAACATTTTAGAATTTTCTGCCCAAAAAAACCCGAATAATTTTCAAATTAAGTCCGCTGAGCGGCAAATTTGTCACGTTAAAGTAAACAGAAGAATCCTCAAAGCGAGAAATCCTTCACCGGGGGTTGCTGCTGAAGGACACATCAAACAGAGCTTCCAATACTCAAGGGTATGGTCAATTCCACGATCGAAACCCAACGTGAAAAATACTTCAACTATCTGTGATTCAAAAAGCTCAAGGCTACAGAAATTTCCGCTAAGTGAAGGGATGCAAGGGAGGGGGAGTCAGTCTTACCAAATCGATTAATTGATTGTCATGGGCATTATCAATCATTTTACGGACGTTGACATTGTACAAAGGTCGGGGGCTGCGAGGCTTTGCATTTAGCGTAGTGGTATGAGGGAGTATAGCTTGTGTATACACCATGGAATGAATCTCTTTAACAAAACAACTGGTTGTCTCTGAGAAGAGCCGGTGGTGAGGAAGGTCTCGACGTTATGCGAACAGTGCGCCCTGATCCAGGAAATTGAGGATTAAATCTAAAAGACGCTGTTTACTTGGACCATCCCATGGTTTGTTATGAGAGAGAGAGGGGTGTGTGACTGCAAATTAAGACTCAGTATATGAATGAAAGCATTTCGCATTTGGCGCCATCATTGTTTGCGGGCTATATGCGCGCTCAGTGAAACGCGCAAGATTTTTCGACACCCTCGCGAGAACGATGGTTGAAAGTCTGACAAAATGTTTGTCAGAGCGCGCGCTCTCTAAATTTTTGCAAAGAGTGGACCCAGACGCAAATTGAAAAAAGAAGAGAATGTAAAACCAGTCCAAGTGAATTTTTCATTCGTATATACCGATTTGTTTGATTTTTCACACTTGTTTCGCTGTTTCAATCGGAGAGAGTGAATGGTCAGTCCTTGAAGACCGGACAGCGCAAGAGGTCACTTTTTGAGTCCGCAGGCCTGAAGGCCACCGATAAAAAAGAGCTTGGCCACGGATGATTCAATTGGTAGAACTCTACTTTGCAGGGTTAATCTCAGAGATGTTTCCACCGATAAATTGACGTAGGGATGCGACTTTGCCGCAGTTTGTTATTCTTCTCTTACCATTTCTGTTGTTGCATGCCGTTGCCTCGTTATTTTACCATAATGGCAGTTATAACTTCTCTGTCATGTACTATACCTCCACTCTGGCCAGATGCAAGATGTGAGACGGACGGGTGCCCCCACACATGTTTAATCACTATTGGACACCTGCTATTTCCACTTCTGCGTCGTGTTGTGGCGGTAAGCCATCTAGGCCTATCTTGCAACGTGGCGCAATACAGTTTATTTGCCGTTAGTCTTCTTTCTTTGTAGATGTTGGTATGCCTAGGATAATGAGGCTATATAAACGAATTCCATTCAACAAAGGGGCGTTATCAAACAGCGTCTCTAAAAACCTGTTTCGAACACGCCATGCTCTTACTACCCTATTTTCCAAACTTGTGTTTTGCGCTGAACCTAACACGAAAAATCCCAATACGAAAAGGAAACAGAGTACGGATGGATCCCTCAAATGGATCCCCCAAAGTGACAAAAACGATCTCTTTCACCTAGTTGGTTGTGCCGGGAATCAATCTACAGAAAGCCCACCAAGAAGTATAAAAGCGCTCTCAAATACTGAAAGTACAATGGGGAAGCACTTCTTGATTTAGCGGAAATTGGACCACCGACAAGTTCAGTGTCATGGAATTCTGTTTTTGATCTCTTGGACACCTGGACCCAAGCATGAACATTTTGTTTGCTATGTTCTCCGTAGTAAAACTGTCTGCCTAAATTGCTCAGTGAACGAAACTGCTTGAACGTAAAGTTAAAGGACGATCAGAAACGCAGTGGCCTCCTGCTTAAGGTGAAAATAAGTGTTATTGCAAATACGATAGTTAATACAACTTTCCCATACTATTTACAGTAGTTACAAGCAAGCATTATTATTCGCCATGCAAAAATTCGGACTACGCAGTACAAATATGCATAATGGTAAATAGTTTCTGTGGTAATAAAATATTTTATATAGGCCTGGTGAATACTATATATTCTTGTGATATAGTGATATAATTGCTTGTTTTGCTCCTTCCCAGAAAAAAAAGACACTTTCTTCATGTGCCAGATTGCACTAGAAAACGTGTAAAATGAAAATACTACTTTCGCACATTTCACGCCTTAAAATTTCAAGAAGTGTCTTTGAATACTAGGGAAATATTTGCGAAGCAAAAAGTCTTACTAACATGAACTTGAAGCCTTGTGCATTAAAGGACTCGCCACCCCTCAAATTGTTTGGCCCCCCCGTTGATGGTATTTTAATACTGAAAGAGCCGAGAGCTAAGATTTTTTCTTAAGTCCATCAAAAGTAATACCGTTACCCAGTTACAAATTTCAAGGAATGGTAAACCAAAATTTCTGTAGGTTTTATTACAAATTTAAAATATGGAGTTCATTTTAAGAAAGTTCCCGCTACTTTTACCTCGAGCTAATCAATTTGGTAACGAATAAATTCCCCGAATCTGTTAAGGATAATATTTCAAATTTAATTACTTTTGGAACAATGCACATATTACTGAGTAGAGTGAGATCTAATAAACTCTATACAGGCCCTACACCACCTTTTAAAAATTAATTTAGCTTGTTTATCGAACGATATGATTACAAGACAGTTTAGTGTTACTTGCAGAGGAAAATTTGTTGTGCCGAAGAAGATTTTATCGCGTATCTATTGGAAATGATTAGTCAGAAACTCCAAGATGGGTCATGCTGAATTGGAAATATGTATCTATTTCCACTTAGATGCTGGCTGACATCCTGTCACTTTAGATAGGACATCGAGGTCTTGCTTTTGTGTGTTCTTTCACGACTAAAACACAAAAATATGCGCTGATATTAAAAGGAAGTGTTAGTTGTCCTAGAAAGATCCATTTCAGCAAAGAATATTATAATTTCCAATTAATTAATGTCATAGATTTTAACCGAATCTTAACTGAACAGATAATGGGCGAAATTACACATCAGTTAAGTAACAGGATGAAGGTTTAGCTTCAGGCTCACTATTATTTTGGGATTACCTTCCTTTCATACGTGTCACTGGTGACGCTATTTCTTTTTTGGGGTAGAAGATTTTTCACTAAAGTCAACTCTACATGGTGCCTTGAGACATCCATCGTAGTCTCTTTACGGTGAGGGGTTATGGCTGAAATGAATTACAGCACAATTCTTTAAATAATGGTTCAAAGCCAATAAACCTTTAAAAATGACAATAATAGGCTTTTAGCATGATGTTGGAAAGTTGTACTTTCCAGTCACCTGTAAAAATACATTTTGCTTCACTGATGAAAATTAAACCAAAATAATGTGTAAAAGCGTTCTCCAACTATAAGTATAGTTGCAGGTTTGCTAATTTTAAGGCATTTGGTCTTATCAATATAATTTAAAAAGAAAAGGACGTCTTATCCATTGGTAGATACATGCACGGTGGGGGAAATATTTGCGAAAACCGTACTATCAAGAAAAGGGGTTTCAGATGCCCACAGGCCCAAAGCGAAGCGTCATAACTTATTTTGTTACGCTGAAAATATACAAAGGAAGTGGGGATAATTTTTGTAAGCACTGGGAAACTTTAGTATTTTTCTTGTTAAGACGTAAAAGTAATTGACCTCATTTGCAAGTCGGCCATATTTAATTGAAAGCGAGGTTAACTCTTTTTGGGAACCCAAGAACAAAATGAAACCAACGAAAACTTTCATTACAGATTAATTACATGAACTATATAAATTTGTGATATCTATACGTTCTAAGCAGAATTTGAAAATGGCAGTGGCGCATGGAACCCAACATAGTCCGGCACCACTACATTTGACAGATTATATTGAACGAGATTCAGGGAACATGATCAAACATGCCTCCCTTGTGATTAGGGTCTGCACTACTTCTTAAAACACCGCCCCTTCTCAAGGTCGAGAGAATAGTGTGGTCGCATCTGTATCATGAGAATATAAATGGATCGAATGAAACGATCTACGGATAATTTAGCGCAGTAGGCCTATAACTGCTTGAAGTGCAGGTGCTCATTTTGACATCTTGGTATGCGCGCGATTCGTCGTGCCTAATCGACTGCTTACCAGCCAACATCTTCATAGCCTACAACGCCCTCTACAATCATTTACCAAGTAGACATTATGCTTTGCAGTTAGTTAATATAACTGCTTGCAACTGTTATAACGTGTTAAGAAAGCAAACATTGCATTAGAAAAAAATTACGCAGCTGTCGTTTGGAGGTACAGTTCCGGCAGTGTTCTTTCCTCAAACTAAATATTCAATTCGTGAATTGGCTTTTCGACTTATAAAAGCATCTTTCATTCCATGTCCACTCTCTTCGATAGCAAAACTCTTCTGCCTTGGGTGTTGCGTAGCATCAGTATCTATCTTGTCATCCATATCGAAGCTAACTTCCATCTCTATGGAGCTGCAGTCAGCATCGATACCGATACTGCGCAGGAAAATGTCCTCTGCACTTGTTTGAACGAACGTTGAGCACATATCGGCAACTGGGTGTGTCTGGGTGCTCTGATCGACCATAACAATGCGAGTTGATGATGGGCCTGCCTGAACACTAACACTACATGGACTACTGCGCAAGTCGTCACGTGACGTAATGACCACAGAACCGTTTTCTGCAACTTCCTCGCCAATCTCATGACTTGTCTCGGCCGCAAACTGAACGTCCCGCGCTTTCCTCGTTTTCATCTTCATAGCTCGTTCATTGTCTATGTAGGCTACGTTCTCGATGCCAAGTTTTCGCTGCCATTTTGGCAGCACCTTTTTCCTGCGTCTAAAGGCGCCTCGTATCAACTGGGTACTGATTCGTCGCTTTTTGTTTGAGACGCTATTATCGTTTTCATCCTTGTTAGTCGGTCCTGCGTCCACCCCATCTGGAGCAGTGACGTCACCGTTCGGATGTTCCTCCTCGATGACTGTTGCATGAGAATTCCCATTACTGATGGTGAACACAGCGTCCCCCCTGGCGGGGTTAAAGCGCAACTTTCGCGCACCAGACCGGTTCCGGTCGTCACATTCCCGGTCCTGAAAGCGTCTGATGACGTCATCGTAACTAGTCTCCACGCTGGTGTCGCGCATGCTCAGGAAATCTTCAGCCTGCCGCATGGACGAGTGAATCCGCCGACGGGGCTGCTCGAAGCGCCTGTATCTGGCCGAATCTGTCAAACGTTTCTTGATCTTATCGTATTTGCGCGGACCGATGGAGTGCTCTACCATGTCAGCACCCAGAAGCTCCTCATGAAAGGGAAACCTCAGGCCGATTGTAAGGGATATGATCTTTAGTATAATACAGGCGATGATACCACACCAAGCTGTGATGCAAACGACGGTCAAAAGCTGAATACCCAACAAGGCCGGTCCTCCACCCTGACAGTTAAGAAAAAATCAAACCGTAAAATTCACAACGACATCACAAACCACTATAATCTCACGAGTACTTCTTGTCCACACTTAAATACATTTATAGGCGTTTTCATGTTTCGGTTACCACAATTCAAATCGACTCAAGTCACTTTTGGCCTCCCGACTTAATCGTGGATATTCAATGTAGTTCGGAACGTGGGTGGGGTATGCGGCTCTTTCCCCCTTAAAAAGTCTTTCTCTAAGTTTTGGTATACAGGATTGATGACGGTCCAATTCTTACCATGAAGAGTCCGTCATGTTGGATTGTCCCGTTGTTGGTCTCCTCAATGCTGTCGTGTTTCACGAAGAGTCCTGCGGCGACGAGACTCCATGCACCGCAGAAGAAGTGGACGGGGACCACGCCCACTGGATCGTCAATCTTCAGTTTGTTGAGCAGCTCCACGCCCCCACAGGCAATACATCCTCCTATCAGACCAATGACCAAGGAGAACTTGGGAGGGCACAGTGTGCACATAGCTGGTTAAGGGAAAAACCAAGTCAAGTTTACCCTCACAAAACGTAAACAAATTAATGGTTATCTCACCAACTCCCTCCGAGTTACATTGAGTATATACACCTGCATAAGTTATAATACAGGATGTACAAAAAACGCTACCCAAAACTAACATTTATTTTCTCCCCAAATAATTGTCAACATTCTTATTTTGGTATCAAACTGAAAATTCCGATTACCCGAGGCAACTGCTGTTTTGTTCTGTCCAATGAAAACCATTTACCACCCCGTAACACATAAGATAACTGGAAAAGCCTGCAGAATAAGCAAACTGACATGAACAGAGTTCTGTTTTTGTTCTGTTAAAACCCCTTGTATTCTCCATCAATAAACAGACAGGATCCTAAAATGCTTCAAAGTGGTTTATGCATGTTACAGAGGTAAATCAGCACCTTGTGACAAATTGACTATTGAGGTAACTTGCACACAAGAACAGGTTCAATTTTTTGCTCTGAGACAAATCCATTAAACTTTGAAACTGCATAATTAATTACACAGCCATGCCTTCTGAAACATGTATCAATTTTGTCAAGGTTAGAATTCTCTTTAAGTGATTTCTGTTCATCACTTCCCAGGCTGTATCGTTTAATTGGGGTGTGACCCCTGGCTACATGGTGTTTCAGGTTTAATGGCTTCTGGCTAGCACCCCCCGAACAGAGATATTGACAAATGGGAAGAGCCACCAAGATAGGGCTGGGTAGCTTAGTTGGTAGAGCACTGGTACGGTATTTCAGAGGCTGCGGGTTCAAATCCCGGTCCAGTCAATTTCTTTGTTCATCATAAGCACCTAGTCAGCTTCCTTGTTTGATTTGTTTCAAGTTTCAAGAATTCGAGGGAAATTCCAAAGGAGAAGACCACCAAAACAGTTATGTTATAATTTAGAATGTAAATTCCTAATTACATAAACTTGCAAGATAATCTGTTTAAAGTTGGGCACATCAATAAATGAGTGGTGTTACGCAATGCGAGACTTTGAGACGCAGGTGGCAGAAGACATACCGGTCCTTTTTCAAGGTATTGCGCGTGCTCAGAATTATGCACGCATGCTCTGAACAACGCGCGCATGCTCAGGACTGGTAAAAGGTCGGTATGTTTGTTGCCACGAAGCTTTCCTAAGTCTCCCACTGAAATACCTCCGCAATGCATCGTGCACTTGAAAATGAAATGTTGGTAGAAAACACTATCGGATATTCCAAACATCAATTTCTAACAATTATTTTGGCAGAAAATAAATGTTAGTTTTCGGTTGCATTTTTAGAACACCCTGTACAGTTTCAGCAGTATCGTTATAAATTTTTCGTATGTGAACAGACAAATTAATCTTTCATGAAATTTTGACTTCCTTCACAGGTATTGAAAACGTGGTCTTGTTGATTTTGTGTTTGTCGAGTTTCTATACTAAACCTCATCACGACGCTGCCTACTCCTTTGGTGAATGCCTAAATATCGGGCTCCGTTTGTGTCAGAGCTGAGAAAAATTGAGATTTTTTTCGATAAAATATTAAATAGCAGCCGTGCAACTACAACACTTCCTCGAAACAAACATGGCATTACTCGGGTGTGAGATTCAACCTCACACCCATTTACTAATTCGTGCATAGACGTCTTAATCTAACACCCCCATCATCAATCTGTTATTCAACTTGGGAATGCAACCAACGACATGAAGGTTTCAACCGAAATCTAAGCTTGGTAGAAAAACATTTTCACTGCACAGATATCTTAATTTTCAGCAATCCGTCTCAATTAATCTAATATCAAAAATATTTAGAAAGTAACAGTATTTGAAAGTAACAGACCTAAATTATGTAATTATTGTAAATATTATCTAATCAAATTCAAAAACGTGTTAATGAGTGCTACAATTAAGTAGCAATCGGGATAGAGAACGCCCATATCGACTGTTCTCTCCTAAACCCAACGACTATTCGAAAGTATGCAAATAATGCGAAAAATAATCAATTTTTCTAATCTGCGTTCTTGTGAAAATCCATGCATTTATAGGCCATTTTATAGGCCATATCGTGAACACTATCAATGACGACAGGAAGTTGTAGGATGTATGGAGGAAAGTAGCGATAAATCTTGATCGATGACTGAATCAACTCCCCCGATAACAAAGTGAAGCCGGCTTTATCGTGGTTTCTGTACACCTGTATGTTGATTGGCGCGTCGACATTTTAATGGAACAGAAAGTAAACATCCCATGTCAAAACACACCAGCAATGTTCGCCCCTGTGTAAGTCCAGGCATTATTTCAGACACAGAACAGGTGGCCATGTTTACCAAACTGAAAACTGTGCAGTAAACAATTTATCATCATGTTTTCTCTCGTGACAGAACCGTTATGGGAACAGTACGCGCTATATTGGTAACAATTTATTCTCAGAGAGAAAAAAGCGTTTTTAAATTTAACATTGGACCGTACCCGAACTGACCATCTTGGCGCGCTGTTTTTGGAGGATGGTAGTTTTATTCAGTGACATCAGATGTCAAAATGAGTTTTCTTTTTACTAGTTGATGATTGTGCTATCGCTTGAGGACTTTTTATTCCAAACTCTCAAAGCGTTCTGAAGGTATTTGTAAAGTGGATAAAAATCGGCGGACAAATTGTTTCGTTTTGATTCTTACCCGCTGATTCGCCTGCCATCTGAGGTGGCGGTATTGATCGCTACTTGATCAAGTGGGAGGACGTCCTAATAAATGATGCAATAAATGCCCTTCAACAGCACGGACGT